GGTCTCAAACCAAACATTCTATGCTTATCTCAGCGGAATCAGCTACCTGTACTTAGCAAAGAATTTTTCCTTATTTTCTAAACTATAAATATTAATTAAATATGCAATTTGTTTTGTTTTATCGGAAATGTAGTAGACACTCACAATACAAAGTAAATATATAGATTGCAACCATTAAAAATCGATAAAGATTATTCTCGTACTTGGTATAGTAACAAAAAACGAAGGAACGTGTGATGAAAGGCCTTAGGCTTGCCCCAGACAACTTTTACCAAATCAAAAAGTGTCTTTCAATTTAAATGTCCTTCCCACTTCAAAATCTATCGATGTGGGAAAGTATAAAATCATTTTTTCTCTTAAAAACATATTTTTCTTTTTGTCATTCCAAAAAATTCTAATGTCAGATTGTTTTGTTATTAAGAATTTTTTAGTAAAGTATTTGCAATTAAAATAGTAGTATTTGTAATTAAAATACTTTTGCTAAATAACTCTTATTTCAAAAGCACTCGGTAGTTTTTAGTCCTGCAAACTATTTCAAGTTTGAAAAATTACTTTATACAGGAGCAGTTTCAAATATGACAAAAACATTGAGTAAAATTAACAAAATAGCAACCACATTTAGTTTTAGTTTTTTCAAATCTAGCACTTTAAGAAAAAAATGGAGATCCAATTTTAAAATGACAACTTTACCCAAATGATATACATCTGTAATATATCTGTAATATATCTAACTACTGATATATGTATGTGATATACATCTGATATACTACTAATATGAGTTTCTGATATGCTTGTAATATGTATGTGATATTCATTTGGTATACTACTGATATGAGTGTCTGTGCAATATATATGTGATATACATCTAATATACTACGAGTGTCTCATACACTACTGGTTTACTACTTATATGAGTATATGATATATTGCGATATTTGAAAATTTTAAAAACAGGTGATATATTTTGAAATACATAAAAGAGTTTTAGTACCCACAGCAGTTTCCCTTATAAATATGTGAAGTATTTTGGTAAATCTAGAAAGTAAAGTTCGTTTGATAACATTTCATTTTCTGTATATATTTTTTTAAATTTTTGAAAAACAGACTTATTTGATAATTACTCAGTCTGCTAATTTTTATTTATTTCAAATTAATTTTGAAATTCTAAGTAAATTATAAAAAGGAAAAAAAAAACATATATTTGGTAGAGAGAATAATGAGTGTTAACTTTTTTAAGTTCTCTCTTCCAAAAAAAAAAAAATCATATTGTGATATATAATATCAACCACAAACACAAACCTGAAGATGTGAGATGTCAGCAAATAAATATCTTGATTTTAGAAATGACAAAATGATGGCCAATTGGGTAGCAATAGTTTAATTATGCTGAAAATTATGGTGCTTATGGGAATCTAACTCAATTATATCAATATAAATATATACATACACTTTAGCCAATTGCAAAATAATTAATACATATAAAGATCATATAATTAATTAAATTAATATATATAAGTTAATTATTTTAATGTCACTTGCTAAAGCTAGATATTTATGCCATGCATGCATCATTGTTCTTGCGTCATTTGGTATGTATGTGTTCTTTTGAAAAAAGATTGTATATATTTCATATATTTATTTTCTTTTTATTTTTTTCGCTTTTAAAAATATTTTTAAAAAAATAATACTCAAAGTCCGAGAAAAAGAACAAAAAGATTTCTTAAATCCTAATTTTTTAATAGTCTTTTAGTTTTAGCTATAATTTTAAAAATATTTTTATAAAGTATATTTACAAAAAGATTAATTAATACAAAAATGTTTTTTTATACAACATGCTAGAAGAGGATTAAAATCACGAGATCTCGTGATTGGAGATATATGCCAATTACCGCTAAACTATGCTCACTTTGACTAATAAAAAAAATGTTATATATATAATGCTAAAATTACAATGACAGCTAAGTAGTACACAATAACCAAGGTTTTAAATGTTGATCATGTTGATGGAAATGTCGAGGACTCAATTTTGAGAAAATATCAATGTCGATAAAATGTCGATGTCGATGGATATTTCTGTAAAAGTTAGACAAATTAAAAAATGGTAAAAAATATTTAAATTGATAAAAAAAACATTTTCCTATTTCTAAATTAGTTAAAAATAAATAATATTTATATTATGTATATATTAGTGACATTTTGTTGATATTTTTCATATTTTATCGATTTTATTCTACTATGATGGAAATGTCGACTTACCCTCTCATGTTGATGGCGAACTCATGGAAACATGGATATATATGTCGATAGAAATAATGTCGACATGTCGACGGATATTTAGAACTATAACAATAACACACCTATATGTTTTTTCAACAATTAATTCTCCTATTTAAAAAATTATATAAATTTTCTTTTAACTAACAAACTTTATTTAATAACCAGGAAAAAAACTAATACGACACATTAAAAATTTATACATAAAGTGAGAATAATACCCTTACACTTTAGTCTTCTAGGGGACGTCACCGTCGTAGTCGTAGTGGTAAACACATGGGTCTTGTTCAATCTAATCAATGAATTCCGATTATAGAGATCTGCTAGTATAGCCACATGTGTGGATCCCGAGACATCAAAAAAATAAAAAAATACTCTTCCACTTTGACCTAATATGCAAATTTTATTCCTATCACACTAGCTCTAATACGCATAACAAAAAAGATCATTCTAAAATTAATTGCCTTAAAATTGAAAGTACAATCAACTGATATAAAACATATTTTCTTGTTCAAGCTAGTTCGTTATACCTAATAATTAAATAAAAAATCTAAATATAAGCTATTATTTTGAATTTAAAGAATGTTGAAAATTTGCATATTATTGATTGAGAATTTAGGAAGAAACCTTTAACTGGCTCTTGACAATTTCTTTTATCCTCCCCTTATTTAAGATGTAGAGAATAAATTCTTCATTTTTTGTCGTAGATAGGTGTTTTAATCCGTTAAATTACACTTAGATTTGGTAGATGCAGAGAATAAATTCGTTGAAGAATAATAAGAAAGAAGATAATTCAGCTATCTTATATTAAAATTAAATTTAAAATTAGAACTAAAAGGGAGAGCTTATATAAGGATAACAATACATGAATAAAGATGATATAATCTCTCTCTAATTTAAATAATATTAGAACAAATTCCTTCTCTCTTCTCTTTTTCTAGTATCCCCTCCACTAAAAAGAGCATTTTAAAAAGAATAATTATTTTTTCACCTTAAAATGTCGTAGTTCTTTTTATATTGGTGAAAGTCTGCCTAACTTAATTCCAACTAAATTGGCACAATTTAACATCATCCATCATCTAATCAATCGCAAATTATTTCATTTTAAAAAACAAAATTGAAAATAATCCAAGCCAATCTGAAAAAGAAATTTTCTTACAAAAATAATTTAAAAGAAATACCTAGGCCAAGTACAAAGTAAAAAAATCGACAATAATTTAATAAACTTGAGTTTATGAAAAATATATAGTCGGGAGGATCTAAATCTATATAATTCATGTTTGAACTAATACAAAGAAATATGTTCTAGAAAACTTTGGTTTGTACAATAGATTCGATCTGCAGTTTTATAATTTGTAAATTTTAGTATGGGTATAAGATTAGTTTTCACACAAAAAATGATTAACTTTCATGGTAAGGACAACAGTATCCCGAGTATCTCGGTAATTGTATGATATTGTCTGAACATAGCCCTCACGGCTTTGTTTTGGGTTTCATCCAAAAGGCCTCATATCAAAGGAGATAATTGTTCTTTCTTATATACCCATGATCATTCCTTTCCCTAACCAATGTGAGACTTTGTTTTCATACACAATGTCACCTTACAAACTCAAGATTTCAAAACCTAAACCTACTATTTTTTAAACGGTTCATAAGTTTTTGTTTTATTATCTAGGAATCAGCGGCCCTTTAGACCAATTCCCCATATCCATGCATACACAATGTCACGTGGCTTGAACCAAAGACTTCAAAGATATTCCTTAAGAATTAATTTCTATATATCTTTTTGTACCAAATGTTGTAAAGCCAGCGACTATCCCATGAGATTAGTCGAGGTGCGTGTAAAACTAACGTGTAAAACTAACCCGACACTCACGATATAAAAAAAATAAAGGAAATAATCCAAATCCATAATTGAAGGGGAAACAGGGAGCATGGGGAATGTATATGATCAAGATATAGTGGGGTGATGTAAGCATATATTATAGAATAACCTTCGATCCTCACTCATTCGCAGTTGGAGTTGGTTATATTATTAACGTTATATATTATAGAAGAAGAATAATATTGTTATAGTTTAGTGACATTTAGGAGTCTGCCACTCACAGACAACCTAGTGGAATCTACAATATTTGTTCCACAGTTTGGCACATATCCATCTCATCCAAAAGAATTATTCATGAAACCCAACAATCCACCTCAATTTTAACTCCCTTGGCTTATAAAATTGTTGCTACTATAAATTCCCTAATTGGAAAATGTACGAACTATGGCTATGAATCAAAAAGTTTTTCTACAATTTAAAGTTCACCAGATCCCATTTTTTGAATTGGATACTCATTTGAGCACTCGAGATTTGATATCATATCAATATTTATGGGTTTCATCTAAAAGAAATTGACTACGAGAGAAGTAATTCATCCCTTATCTTTTTGACGTAGGATGCTTAACACTTTTAAACTAGAATTTTTGTTTTTTTAGTACAACATGTTGGGGAGGGAATTCGAACTCACAACCTTTTGTTTGGAGGTATAATTATTGCAATTAAATCCAATTAGGCATGATATCATGATGGCAATGTTGAATTGCAATGATTTTGTAACTTTAAGGAAATAATTGCTCAAATACAAAGTTGGTCACTAATGAAATTGTGACAAGTTGGTAAGCTTATGGATGGTTCTTGAATTTTCCTTTTTAATAAATTAAAACAAAACAAAACAACCCAATTTCTTTTTTCAAATTTTTTCTTCTCATTCTCTTCTCTAACTTGAAGGATATTTTGAGATTACATGTAGAAAACTAGGAAACAAAAGGGCACCCAATATTTTAGGCTCACATATCCAACCAAAAAGAGAGAGAAAAAAACTAAAGTCTATAAAAAGAAGAAGAAAAAAAGAAAAAAGAAAGGAGTTGTTGATTAATTCTTCTCCTCCCTTCTTGATGGCCAATTTCTGTGTTATTGTTCTCCAAGATAATTGTGTCTCAGCTTTGTTATCCTTAATTTGGCTGATTAGTGGTTTGAAGCTTGTTTTCCATGTTGGGTCCAGCCATGGGTGGAATGTTAATGGCCAAAGCTTGTTTCTTTTGGATTGCTTCAATAATGTCTTCATTTATTACAGGCAATAATTCTCCACCTTTCACTGCTTCAACAATTTCTCCACCTTCCTTCTTCTCTTTGCTTTCTTTGTATTTCCCCCACAAAACAGAGTACAGCCCTATTACAATCAGCACTGCTCCAATTATCCTGAATAATCATTACTCACCATTCTTAGTGTTCATTTAACTCAAAAGCACACCCAACAAAATTGTTTTTAGCAAAAGCACGGCTGTTTTGCGCTTGAGATAACAAATCATTTTGACGTTTGGTTTCATGCTCTCGAATAAAAAGCTTTTTTTTGGGTGAAAAAGTGTTAAGGATTCCACATTGAAAAAACAAGGAACCTAACAAAAGTTTATAATTGAGGTAGATGATTCGTCTCTTTTCCAATTGGTTTTGAAATCCCATAGATATTAATATGGTATCAGAGCATAAAATACTAAAATGAACATCCAATCTATAAATGGGATCCGACCAAGATGGATGAGTAAAAAAGTCATGATTATGAAGAGACATATTAAGGAACCCACATTGAAACACTCCCAAACATAGATGGAAATGAATGAAATTACTAAATTACCCTCCAACGTAAATCTTCTCAGCAAGGATGAGAGAGCCCATGAAGGCAACAATCACCATCATCAGAGGACTGAAAGCTGTGACAAAAACTGGCCCTCTTGTCTTCATAACCAAACCTTGCACATAATATGCCACTCCAGATGTCACAATCCCCTGCAAAATTTTACATTCTAATTTTAGAGAAAAAAGGAAAACTTTAGAGATTTTGAACTATTTTTTTTATAGAACTTTATTAAACATAAATAAATAACTGATAAACCTACGAGCTTAAACTGGTAGGTTGGATAAATTTAGTCGAAAGGGATTCTTACCGCATAAGCGGCGGCGAGAAGGTTCAAGTCCCAGCCGATGGCCCAGGCGGAGCGGCGGTGTTCCATGGCAAGGGTGACGACGATGGCCTGAAGGGTACCCAAAAAGCAAACCATGGCGGTCAGCGAAAGATGAGCGGTGTATTTTCTCAGGGTTATGACCTGAAGGATGAAGAAGGCAGCCCAAGCCAGAGTGGCGATGATGAGCAAAATGGAGCCCTTGATGAACTCTCCGTCGTTGTGGTGGTCAAGCGCCGCGTTGGCCGGAGGCGGCGAGCTCACGTGACTGCCGTGCCCAGTCCAGAAGAAGTTGATCACACTCCCTTTGTAAAATGTCATCAACATGGCTCCCATCACCGTTACTATTGTCCCAAACAACTTTGCTTGGCATCTCACTTTCCTTAAGTCCAGCTTCTCCATCCTTAAAAAATTCAAAACCAACTTAGCACAAGACACAACAAGTGATTAATTATGTCGAGATACTGCAAGAATTCGAACACAATTTCTCATATGATACTATGTTAATTAAACTACTACTGAAGTTGAAAAACTAAGAGACCTAAGAAGGAGTTATAATATAAATGGACTACTTCTCTCTCGTGGTCGATTAATTGTGAGATAATACCCTATGAATATTAACAGAGATGACGTTAATGGAGGTATTAGAATACCTGCAAAGTACTGCCATCACGAATGTCATTGCAGGAAGCATGTTGCTTATGGCACAAGAGAAAGTTGGGGATGTCATTTTGAGCCCCACATAGTAAAAGTTCTGATCGATCAATGGTCTGTTAAGACAAAGAGAAAGTTCAAAAAAATGGAAAGTGTTTTAGCTCTTTAAAGGAAGGGAGTTTTAACTAGTGTTTGTAAAAACCAGTAGATTTTAGATACTAACCCAAGAAGACCCAAAACAAACATCTCAATGAAGATCTTAAATGTAATCTTGGGTCTCACTTTCCTGCAAATGGCACCACAATAGAAGCTATTAGTTCTTATTATCCTATTGTAGAAATATGGAGGATTCGTTCGTCCTAATCATTCTATTCTTCTGTCTTCCTGCTTCTAACCAAGCAAGATATGTACCTCTCGAGAACGAGAGCGAAAGGAGCGACAGCAGCGGTAGCGAAGGCGTGGCGGTAGACGACGAGGACGTAGTGGCTCATGCCTCGGTTGAGGGAGACGGTCGAGATGATGTTCATACCGGCGTAGCCGAATTGGAGGGAGATGACTCCGATGTAAGGCTTTGCATTATGAAAGAAACGGCCAAGACATCCTATGAACCCCATGATTATGATGCTAAAAAGGGAGAGTTTATATATATATTTTGCAGAGAAAGTTGCAGAAGAAAAAAAATTGAGAGAGAGGAAGAACAAACAGCTCAAGAAGAGCTTGTGAGTGTGTTTCCTAAGAGAAAATGGCTTGGAAGACCTCATATTTATAGGCCATTTCATGGCTTTTTTTGTTATGTTTCTTTTTTTTTTTCCTGAAGAATAAAATATATATTTGCTGACGCATAATTTTTCAGTAGTGGGATATTGGGTTTTGTTGATGCATGTCATTAAACAATAAAACTTGATGGGAGAAGAAAGAAGAAACTTCCCTCCACATTTAGATTACTTTTTTGATGTGATTTTTATTTTTAGTGGATAGAAATATTAGTCACATTTATTTGTTGATTTAATGTAATTTAAATATTCTATACGTGTGAATTCACCTCAGAAAATAAGTAGAAGATCCTACCTGATAAAACTTGTCTTCTTACCATCTCTAGTAAAAAAAAACATTTTTTATTAGCTTATTTACTTTATATTTAATAGATGAACAGATTTCAATAATACTTTTTTGATGTCATTTTATTTTAGTGTTATGTTATTTAAAAAATATTTACCCATAAAAAAAATCTTTTTTAGAACTCCAAGGGAAAAATTAAAAGTTAGGACCAACCTTTGCTTAAAAGTTAAAAATGTTTATAAAAAAGGTAAAAATAATAAATAACGAAGGTGAGAATCAAACAAGAAAAATAATTTTCATCATAGAGAAAATAAAGAAAAGGAAAAATTCTACCTAAATTTTTATTGCTTTGGGTTAGAGAGAAATTTACAATTCAAATAATAAAAATTGAATCTACAAAATTCTTCAACCCAAGGATTGTATGATCATGGGGTTCATATAATATATACATCAAAGTTAATTGTATATTCAAAAAGGGTGTGTGTATATATATCCATAGAAGATCTGAGGTGGACATATATATGATATATACATATGCTTTAGAAATAAAAATTATGGTGGGATCCACTATTAATTCCTCTATCTTCTTCTTTCTCCTTTTAACATAAATATAGTATAGATATTGAGTGGGAAGAGAAGATATAAAGGAAGAAAAGTGAGTTTTCCTATATATATATATATTGGAATAAAAGGGCTCATCCAAAGTTATACAGTTTGTAGTTTTGTAGTTTCCTTCTAGAGCATTCTACTCAGGTTGATGCACCTAGAACCTTGCACTGGTATGTGCTCGCTTATGTACACTCAAAAGTTAATTAAGTTAGAATTTAGTCCGAGCTTAAGTAAAATGCAAGAAATTGTATACCTTTTAGAGATGGGACTCTGCCTTTTATATAAGCAGACAATTGAGAACCACGGCTCTACCACTACAATTGACATTGTACTAGTCATTCAACGAGTTTTTTGCCAGTAATTAGAAGATTTTCTAAAGGTAGAATCATTCTTCCACCAAATGTCAATGGATTTCTCACTAGCCAGAATCTTCCTAGATCGACATCGACTTGAGCTTTGCTTAAGGACATGTTAAACCTTCCTCCTCATCTTCGACATGTCCAAATTGAGGTCTGGACACACGTGTGCCTTTACGGGGAGAGCCTGGTCAACTTCCGCTGAGATCGCTAATCTCCAAGTGGCGTCTACCGACCTTCTACTTCAGTGATTTATGCTCTAGGTTGACATTCAGCCTATGCATCATGACTTTAGAGTCGATACCTAGCATATATTCGTATGACCACGTGAAGACATGTAGATTGTTTCTTAGAAAATTTATGAGACTTTCCCATTTTTTATCTTCAGTTAGGAGGGCAATGAGCTTTAGCTTCTCAACGAGGGAGCCTTTTTGGTCTTTGTCCCGTTGGCTGTGGTGCTCCTCTAGGGGGAATCCCTCTGTAGGCCCTATCCCTTCAAGGCTCGCCTTGTCATCGGGACGGTCCATCCCTTTCTCAGCCATTTGCAATTGCGATTATTACATTGGCAGAGCTTACTTGCCGCTTAAGCTTTTCTCTATAGACAATGCTAATTTTTTACGTCGATTTTTGGGCAAGCGTTGAATAGGTGCCACGTATGCCTTCGTCTCTCAGCTCAAGCTTGATTTGCACACAGAAATCTAATATTGGTTTGGTGCTCTTCTGATTGCACTCCGATGCTTAAGTTAATACTTAATTGGGGTAGGAGCAAATAGGTATAGAGTGCTAAGATGTTAGCAAGTAGAGAAAACCAGTCTTTCGATAGTGAATTTTGCATACACCTTAATTCAGGTTCATGTGTTGCTTATATATGGAGAGAGAGAAAGAGAGGGAGAGAATGCGATGTGGAGATCACCATACTTTGATACTCCCTGGGCACCATAGATGGGCGTAGTAGCGTCTCGGATGATACTCTAGCCTATGTTAGGATGTCAGCGTCTTCTTTGCTGGTTGTCCCTGGTACATATAGCTGCTGAAGTACGCTCGGCCACTCGATTCGGTGTGCTCGACTCCCTTGCCTTAGTTAACTCGGGCTTCGCCCAAGTGGCTGATTCGGACCTAAGTGTGTGGTGCCTTGGATTTACTCAATAACACTATATTATCCATCACAAGAGGATACAATATATATTATGTTAAGGATGCTACATTAAAAAGACAAAGTATGTAACAAGAGTTTATAATATAAATGAACTACTCTCTCATTGCCAATTGGTTTTAAGATGAAACTCCATGAATATTAATATGTATACCAGATGTTTAAACGAGCATCCAGTCCAAGATTAATGGACCCAAAAGAGGCACAATTCATGTTAATTAAGGATCTCATATTGAAAAAATAAAGGGTCCTAGTTATTGATTACATCTGCGAATTCTTTACTACTATTACAGGTTCTATCCGAAATTAGAGCCATGGTGCTTCAAAATTGAAATTAAGCTTCGAACTAGTGTCATGGCACTCCATAATAGGCCAAGATGCTTGCTCGCGAAATTTATGGCCGGCTCTGCAGCATCTTTTAACTTTATATTTGCAACACAATATTAACACATATCAATATTTATATCCACATGTTTTTTAGTATCCAAATTATTTTTCCCACAAACATTTGTGAGGAAAGAGTTAGTCATTACTTATATTGGATTTTTTTTTTCAAATTGCTCAATAATTAAATCATATACAGAAAAGTTTGCCGATTTTTGAAAACGTATATAGGACAATAGGGAAATTAATATATGTACTATGTGAATCATACTCTGAAAAAGAAAAAAACAAAAACAAAAAAAGTACTATTATAAGATTTTGAAAACAAACCAACAAAGAAAAACTAATACATAGTGGATTTTCTTTTGCAAGCCATGGCTTTTCTCCAGTTTTATTTCTTAGTTATTTCCACGTAAAGCTGATACAAGACGTTGAAGGGAAGAATGAGTGAAATAGAGTTCAGTAGTAGTAGTTCAAGTAGAGTATCTAAGTATTAATATTCATGGGTTATATCTCAAAACCAATTGACAATAAGAGGGGTAGTTCATGTCTATTCTAAACCATTGCAAGGTCCATTCTCTTTTCAATGTGGAATCCTTAACATACCCCCTCAAGATCGTGGCTGTTTTGGCTCATCGATCTTAGTCGGATCTCATTTTTGGATCGGATGCTTGTTTGAGAGTTTTTGGGCTCTGATACCATAAATAATTCTTGTATATCCTTTCAATTGAACAAGCTCATTCCGTTATCTTTACACAAGAATTATCCTTTCTTTTAAACACTACACGCAGGGAGAATTATTTAAGGAAAAATAATAAAAACGAGCCAATCAATTTGGTGATTGATTTGACTGTTATATATAATTGAAAAGAAAACTAAGAAAACACAAAATATAATGGAGCATTTAATGAGAGAATTGCAATGAGAGATTTTAGCATCAGTTCTTACTTGGAGGAGGAAATCTGTAGTATGCTGATTTGGTGAATTCCTTATTTGGATAGTAATGGAATCAAGGGTGGACAACTGTAGAGTAGTTGTCTAATTTCCTTCGATAGTAGTTGGAATTGTTTGGTTATTTTCTTCACTAAGAAGTCCAACATGAGTGATGAAGATTGGAAGGAAATGAATTTGAGAGGCTGCAAAGGCGATAAGAACGAGTTTGGCTCAGAATATCCTTGCAAATGTGCATGAAATTAAGATAGGCAAAGAACACTTTAAGGAGAAGCTTAAAGCTTTGTATCATGCAAAAGGCATCTAAAATCGGCTGTACTTGAAGAAGCAATTTCAGACGTTGCGAATAGAGGAAGGTACGAGAATCTCAGATCGTCTAAGTGCTCTTAATAACATCATTTTTTAGCTAGAGTCAATTGAAGTGAAGATAGATGACGAAGATAAGACACTCAGACTCATCTTGTCACTTCTACAATCTTATGAACACTTGAAACTGATCTTGATGTATGGGAAGGAAACTTTAAATTTTGCTAAGGTTACTAGTAAACTTTCGTAAGAAGAAAGAAGGCTGAAGAGTGAGGGCGTACTTCATAGGAAGACACAGCCCTGGTAGCTTGCAATTGGAAGAAGAAGAAAGATTTAGTGCAAAAGAAAGGTTGATGGGGACGTGGACAGTTTGAGCACATGAATAAGGATTGTCCTAACAGAGTCGGTTTATCAAAGGGCTCTAGGTCGGATGCTGACAGTGTTTCTCTCGCCAGAGAAGATAATGATCAGTTCCTTTAAAGAGAGATAGAAATAGATCATCATGGTATGTCCACTTTACCACGATAGACGATGTTATGTTAGTACTTCAACAAATTTACACACGGGTATTAGTTTGGTGGCTATGCAAGACGTGTCTGTGGTGGAAATTACGTTGACGGCTGAAGAACTTCCGCGTAAGCTAAGTAGGTGGAAGTTGCACCATAAATTTCAACGGGATTTATAGACATGTGACAAAGAAGAAAAATCTTGGAAGGCGACATTCCAAGTAATTTACTTTCACTGTGAGTAGGTCTTTATAGTTCTCTAAATTAAGAATTATGATTGTCTGTAAAGACAATGAGTGCAGTAGAAGCTGTGAATTCTTCAATATCTTGTCAATGTGGAATTTGTTAGATTTTGACAAAATATTAGAAGAGCAAATTGTCCCACATGTTCAGGAAGGAGATATGCTCCAAGTGCTACAAAAGAGGCTCATGCTTTTAGATTTTAATCATCCCAATTGAAACAATTTAAGCTTAGTAACGAACTCTAGTTAATCGAGTGATATTTTCTTGAAGAGAGTGTGTTTTTTTTTGTGTAATTATTGTCGGAAAAAAATTTGTGTGATTGTAATAATTTTCACATAGTGATTTTTTCCCGGTTTGGAGTTTTTCATGTAAATTCTTGTGCTTTTATTGTTGTTATTTTTAATTTCTCAGTTATTTTCTACTTATTCATGCGGTAGAAATACGATGGGTTTTCAATGAAGTTGAAATAATTATCAAAATATCCTTAATGAATGGAGATAATGGTGACGTTTTCTATTCTTTGTTTTTTGTTTTTTATTTTTGGTTTCTTGTATCTTCTTTTCCAATAAATGAAAATAGAAATGTATTTGGTAATTGATTTTTTTGTTTTTTTTTCCTTCTTACTTTTTTTATTAAAACAAAAAAAGAAAGAAATATGTTTGGTAACCATCTTTTCTTTTTTATTCTCTAAAATTTTAAATTAAAAAAATAAATTTTTAAATGAGATAATCTTTTAAAAATAAATATTAAAAATTTATATATTATATATTATTTTAATATTTATTATGCATTTTATAAGTCAAGATTGATAATGCTTTTATTTATGTTTTTGAAAAAAAATTAAAAATTAGAAATGAGAACAAAATAAAAACAGGAAATTTGTGCCCATTTTGTAGCTTCTTATTCATGGTTTCTTTCTATTTGATTGTATTGAAAGGCCCAATGAATTAGGATTTCCCTATTGGGCTAGGTCATTTCGGGACAAGCGGATCATTTATGATGAAGATGATGAGCTTTAAGAGTATAATTTGAAGTTCTTGCAGAGTGTGGAACCATGCAATACCAGACACGAGATAGATCTTGCAAAAAACAAGACTTTTTTCGAATAAGCCAATTCATTTGGGACATGCAATCTTTCTTAATAAAGAAAAACATAATTGCATCTGATAACTATTTCATGTTGTTCGTTTTTTAATTGAAAAAAAAAAGAAGAAAACCCTGATAATCTTGAAATGTGGAACAAGAAATAAGAAAAATGTTTTTTTTTATTTCTACAATTTTGGGAAAGTTTCTAAAAAAAATAAGAAATAAGAAACATAAATGGTTTGTCAAATATGCTTAAGTTTCTCGATATACAAAAAAAAATTCTCAATAAAATTAGAAACGAGAAATAAGAAAGGAGAACGTTACCAAATCGGCTCTAAATTTTGTTGTTTCCAAAATGGATTAATGTAAGGTAAAAATTGTATTTCCACTTCATAATTATTAGAATTTTGGACTTTGTTCAATTATATACTTTGGCTTTTCCAACACAAGATATTGCATCACTTCTAATAATGGTTGCTTGTGTCACTTGCGTCACATAACATCTTCCAAGTAATATGTTTGGGATAAACCTTTAGTCACGAAAAAGGCAAAAATAAAAAATAAAAAATAAAAAAATAAAAAAATTGCTTGGATTGATTTTTATTTTTTTACTTTTTTTTAAAAGAAGCTACTTGCCGATTAAAAATTTAGAATAATGTGCTATAGTTGTTAATTTTAAAATTGTTCGAAAAGATATTTTTTGTTTTTGTATTTTTATTCTATTTCTTATAGCTATTATGTATGAAATATCTCACATTTAAAATGAAATCATACGTAAAGTATATCATATTAAATTTGTTTAAAAATTTATCCCACCAAATTAAATTATTGTATCAAAAAGTTTTTTTGAGCTAATCATAATTAATTAATTTGTTCTTAAAATCCTCCAAATAGATTGAATGATCTCTACATTTTCTCATGAAATAAATTTGGAAACTTTCATATTCTTTTCTTTTCTTTTTTCTTTTCTCTTTTCTTTTCTTTTTATTTTTATGGACAAACTTTCAGTTTTTTTTTAGAACAACATGTGGGAGTGGGAGTTTGAACCCACAACCTTTTTGTTGACGATACACACCTTAATTAGTTGAACTAGGTTTAAGTTGGAGAAACTTTCATATTCAAACTTCATCCTTAAGGATGATTATATGATATAGAAAAAAACTATATAATTATTTACATTTATCAAGAAATGACTGAATGTTTTAAATTAATTAGGAATGGTGAAAGCCAATTTGAGCCTAGCTCAAGTTAAGACATATATTTTAGATCAAAATATTGTGAGTTTTCAATCCCACTCTGATATATGTTATTGTAGTAAAAGAAAACATTTGAATTATTGGTGAAAATTAATTAAAATTAAAAAAATAATGACTGTCTTATTAGTACAAGGCATTCTTGATATTGAATCCAAAATTAGTAAATAATTAAATTACATTTTTAATCTCCATGCTTTAACCTTTAATTTCAATTTAATCATTTAAAAAAATAATAATTTCAATTTAATAATTGATTATGCTTTTAAATAGCTTTTTTTTCCTGAGTACAACATAGGAAATGGAGATCAGATTGAACTTTCAACCTCTTAGTTGGAGATATATTTCAATTATAGCTTAGGCTCGTTTTCGCATTACCCTAAATTTTTTTTATTAAAGCTAATTATTTGAGAATGGTAATTACAAAAATCCAACCTAATAAGTTATTTATTATTCCACTCCAAAAGAATTATCTACAGAAATAGTGGTTGCACCCAAAAAAACCCAGTTAAAGAAATTGTGGTTGCATTCCAAAATAGAATTAATCCCAGCCTTCTTTTTATCTTTCAATCAAAATTATTTTCTAAAACTTATAAAAATTCATATTTTCCAACTAAAATGACTTGTCAAACTTTAAAAGTATTGTTTATGCAAGAATATGCACAACAGTGTTTCTCTGATCGTAGCTCGAACCCGGTCTCCGGACCGACCTGAACACTTGGGCGGACCTGCACAAAAAGGTGAACACTCCGACGCTCAAGTCAGTATAGGTCGGATTCCCAGTTTAGTTCGAGGTAAAAGTCATACCTGAGTGTGGAGTGAGGTCCTCTACTTATGGGTGGTAGTCCCGTTCAAACGGCCTTTTCTTTCGTAGGATTTTGAAGAAAGGAAGGCACTTATCTGTCGACCTTGAAACAAACCGGTTCAGGGCTGCAATCCTGCCATTGAGGCATTGAAGCTGCTTCAGCGTCTTGGGTGCTTCGAGCACGACTTTAATCTTTTCGGGGTTGGCCTCGATCCCCTGGCTGTTCACCATGAAGCCAAGGAATTTTCCCGAAGAGACTCCAAAGGCACACTTAGTTGGGTTGAGCTTCATTTGATATGTCCTCAGAACCTCGAAGGCTTCGGTCATATCGGAAAGATGCGACTTAGACTGCTTGCTCTTGACAAGCATGTCGTCCACATACACTTCCATATTCCGGCCGATCTGCTTGGCGAACATTTTGTTCACCATTCTCTGGTAGGTCGCTCCTGCGTTCTTGAAACCGAAGGGCATGACTTTGTAACAATACAGACCTTGGTCTGTTATGAATGCGGTATGATCATGATCTGGGACATGCATATTGATTTGGTTGTACCAGAGTAGGCATCCATGAAGGTGAGCAGTTCGTGTCCGGCCATGGCGTCCACGAGCTGATCGATCCTCGGCAGTGGGAAGCAGTCTTTCGGGCATGCCTTGTTTAAGTTCGTAAAGTCTACGCACATTCTCCACTTCCCGTTAGATTTCTTAACTAATACAACATTAGAGAGCCACTTGGGATACAAAATTTCTCTTATGTATTCAGCTTTCAATAGTTTGTTTACTTCCTCAACAGTTACATCACTCCTCTCCTTGTTTATAGGTCTTCTTTTTTGTTTTACAGGTCAGAATGACGGGTCTATGCTGAGGCGATGCGTCATAATCTTCGGGTCAATGCCAGGCATGTCCTCATGAGACCATGCAAAGACGTCCGAGTTGGATCTGAGGAAGTGGATTAGCTCCTCTCTGTTGGTGGCCCCCATCTTAGTTCCTATGCTTACCTGTTTCTTGGGACTAAGCAGAGGAACAAGCTCGAGCTCCTCAGTGGGCGCGGAAAACTCCCTTCTCGGCAGGTCGGCCTCGAACTCAGGCTACCCATCCCCACTGGCTTGATCTTCGAGGGCGCATACCGATGACCCTTTGAGTGCGGAGGCATAGCATTCCCTCGAAGCGGTCTGCTCTCCTCGGACTATGCCCACGCCATGAGGGGTGGAATACTTCAAAACTTGATGAAGTGTTGAGGGAACGGCCCGAAATGAGTGGATGATGGGTCTCCCAAAGATGGCGTTATAGGCCGATCTACCGTCAATCACCACGAACTCGGCCATTTTGGTGACCTGTGTTTTGTCTTGCCCAAATGTGACTGGCAAGTCGATGCAACCCTCTGGGGTGATCGACTCTCCAGAGAACCCAACTAGCGGTGTCAGGCTTTTCTTCAATTGCGACCTTGTCCATCCCAGGGTGAGGTAGGTTAGTAGGGACAGGATGTTAGCAGACGCGCCCCCGTCTACTAGTACCCTCCTGACTACCACATGATCAATCAAGGGAGCGATCACAAGTGCATCATTGTGGGGCAGGTGGACCTCCTCCAAGTCTGCACTGTCGAAGGTGATTGGGAAGGTCGGCCTCTGCTCCCTGATGATGCACACCTTGCGCCTGGCTGCACGAGCTAACTCATTTCTCTTGTTTCTGGACTGGCCTCCGCTCGGACCTCCAAAAATAGTATTGATGACTGCAGGTCGGTCCTCTCGCCGAGACGGCGTTCTTGAACGCTTCCTCTCTTCCATCTTTTCGACCGAGTTAGACCTCGGTTTGCCCACGAATTTTTTGAAGTAGCCGTCTTGAATGAGGTCTTCAATCTGGCGCTTTAACTCCCAGCAACTTGACGTATTGTGGCCGTGATCGCGATGAAAACGACAATACTTATCTTTGTTGCGTTTTTCTGGGTCTCCTCGGAGCTTCTCAGGTCGCTTGAGGAGTTTTTCCATCCCGCTGTCCTCGATGTTCGTGAGTATCTCAGAGACGGGAATGGTGGTTGGGGTGTACCGTTCATAAGGTCGGCTCCGGGTAGGGCCGCTCTCCGTCCTACGGTACTATGTTCTGCTACTGGAGGAGGATGGTCCCTTATCTTTGAACCTGACATCAGTCCTTCTTTTGTCCTGGCTTAGTTTTCTCTGAACGACCTGCTTTTCAGGTTGGCCAGTCTTGGTTCGGAGGAGCTCCTGCCCATCAATGACTTTTTTCGCCTTTTGCAATACTTCGGCGAATGTGGCTGGAGCCTCCTATCCAAGTTTTATGGTTAAGGTCTCATTGGCCAGGCCTGTGAGGAAGTAGCACATGGCCGAGTCGTTGGAGCAGTGCACGACCTTTAGCTGCTCCTCCTGGAACCTTGTGACATATTCTCTCAGCGTCTCTCCTTCCCTCTGCCTGATGGTGGCAAGGTGAGTCGCTGTCTTTCTGTCATAATGCCGAGAGGAGAACTGACTGATGAACTCCTTCCTTAGCTAGGAGTAAGTCGGGATCGATTTGACCGGCAGTCTTCGGTACCACAGGCGCGCGCTGCCGGTAAGCGCGATTTGGAAGACGCGGCATTTGATCGCATCTGTCGCCGCTTGAAAGTCCATGAGGCCCTCGAAGACCTCAACATAGTCTTTAGGGTCCTTAGACCCGTCATAGGGCTTCATGGCGGGAGTCTTGAACTTCGGAGGGATTGGAGCCTCCAGGATGTCCGCGGTGAATGGCGATTCTCCCAAGTCGCCATTGTCGAACGAACAGTCTTTCTTCTCGCACCTGGCCTTAAGCGCCTCGACCTGCTCATCGAACTTGTGCTTCATTAGGTCGAACTCTTCTCTAGTGATCACCGCCTCTGGTGCTAGAGGTTTGTATTTTGATTGAGCCTTTAGGTTCGAGTTGGAGAATTCTCGGGAGTAGGAAGGAGAGTCTTCCGGCTCCCGAGATGCTCTCTTCTTCTTTTGAGTGAGATACTTTCTCAGATCGTTATCCCGCAGGCTGTAATCCACTCCTCCATCGTTGGGAATGGGCTCGCGATCGCCAGGTTGCATAGATGAAGCTCCCTTTTCTCCGGGTGCGCCCGGAGCTATAGAGGGAGACGCAGTTCGGTTAGCACGTGTTGCATCAGCGTACATTTCTTCCATTGTGCGCAATCGATGGCACATATCATCCAACTCGCGCTGGAGAGTAGACAGAGCTTCGGGGTCTGCTTCCTGATTGGCCCTTTGGGAGGTTTTTCTCGATGTCCCTCCTCGGCCTCTGTTGGCTTTTGAGGGTTTCGGGTGAGCAAGTGGTAGCTCTTGATTCGCATGGCGGGCAAATCTGCGCGGCAGATCTCCCTCTTGCCCTGCTCGGACCTGGTCCTCGACTATTCTTGCACCGAGGTCTCGCTGAGGGCCATTGTCAGCGTTCACA